AAAACCAACCCACCAAAATAACTCCCAAACCAAACACAAACAAAAAAAAGGCAAGAGTTGCAGAAACAGAAATCTCTGCAAAAGATGGTGTAAAATCCAATAGATTTTGTTCACTAAAGGAACAAAGTTTGCAACTGACTTGATCATACCCAGTAAACACAGAGTAGAGATATCTGTCAGAGGTCATTTAGTGTGACTTGAAAAGACACAACTGAAAACAGACAAGTGAACAGGACAGGTGATCAAGTACCATTCACAAGCTATGGAACTCCTTCCTTTGACATGGGTGGACTTCACTCCCAGCAAAGGGTATATTACTGAAACAGCTGTCCCAGATAATATCCCAGTATTCTTTTAGTAATATCACATTCTGTTGAAAGGACTATTCCCAACAAGAGCTTGTTCCAAAGAGAAACAAGTCTCTTATTGGTTAAACTCATCATCAATGTCATCCAGGCTGGGGCAAGCAATAAAATGGCTTTTGGGGCCCACATATCAGCTATGGAAAGGTGTTTTACAGAAGCTGGGGGACACATTACACTGCCTTGGAGACTGAGCATACTTTAAGGAATAAGTTTTTTACCCAGGATCACCTGATGATGATGCTACACTGAATCACAGAATTAGATTAGAAAAGACTGAGATTTTCAAGTCCAATCGGTGACTGAACACCACCATGTCAACCAGACCACGGCACTCGTGCCATGTCCAGTCTTTCCTTAAACACAGGGACAGTGACACCACCCTTGGGCAGCCCCGTCCAATGTCTAATCATCCTTTCTGTGAATAAATTCCTCCTAATGTCCAACCTAAGCCTCCCCTGGCGCAGCAGACCAGCAGCACGAGAGTCAGGACTGGAAGCTTTCCATACAGAGCCCAAATCCGCGTGACGATCCCAAAACACGTGCCCGGTTCTCCGTTACGCCCCCGCAGCCCACGGGTCGCCATGGGAACGGACGCGGCGCGGGGCATCCCGGGCCGCAAGACAACGCTGCAGTAAAACCCAGCCGGGCGCCGCGCCGCAGCCAATGGGCGCTCAGGGAGGGGCAGCGCTGGCCAATGGGCGCCCGGGAGGCGGCGCCGGCGGCCAATGGGGGGCGGGCGCGCGCAGGGGGCGGGGCAGAGGCGCTGCGAGGCGCGCACGGACCGGAGCGCAGCGCCGTCCGCTCTGCAGCGCCCCAACGGTGAGCGACGGGCCGCGGCGGCTCCGGAGACTCCGCGGCTCCGCCATCCCGGTACCGGGACCTCGCGTGTCCCGGCGGCTCCCCCGCACACGGGCTCTTCCCTGGCCGCCTCCGGTTTTCCCGGGGTGGCAGCACGCTGTAGCCGCGCTTTCTTCGCCTCCCGCGGGGGCGGGCCGGGAGGGCGGCGGTGCGAGCGCGGCTCCCGGCCGGAGCGCGGCTGCCCGACGGGAGCGGCGTTCGAGCCGCTCGGGCCGTGCCCGGGCTCGGCACGCCCAGCCAGGGCGGGGGCACCGCGGCGATACCGGTGGGGCAGCTTGGCAGCAGGTGGTTCTGGCAGGTGCTTCTGCAACTTTGAATTTCCGTCTTTTTTTCTCCTCCAAGCAGGCAATCATGAGTGATCGAAAGGCAGTGATCAAAAATGCGGACATGTCAGAAGAGATGCAGCAAGACTCGGTGGAGTGTGCAACTCAAGCCTTGGAGAAATACAACATTGAGAAGGACATCGCTGCTCACATAAAGAAGGTAGATGTTGGCTTGTTATGTGCTCATGAAAAATCAATCGGGGAGAACTCTGCTAGGCAAGTAGCTCTAGAGAAACGAGTTCTAGAGGCACCAGATAAACTAGTTAGCCTTTGTCTCTTTTCCATTCCCCACCCTTTATGTGGACCTTTCTAGGTACTTCTGCTTTTCTCTTGTACTGCCTTACACCTTTTCTGCCATTGTCCAGCTGAGCAGAGTGGCAGCTGACTGTCCCTGTGACTGATGAGCTGGTACAAGACATGGGCTCTGTGCAGCCTATTTAAAGAGTGGTGGTTTGCTGACCATGTAATAAGTGGGTTTGGTTTTTTGCCTTTCCCACCACATGTAAGACAAGCTGTTCATGCTAATGCTGAACAGATGGTTCATAGCTTACAGTTTCTCACATTTTCTCTCTTGACTCCTACTGGGAGCCTGACTGAGCTGTAGGGAGCTGAAGAGTTTGGTTGAGCAGAACAGAAGTTTCCATGTCCTCAGAAAAATCTCTTCAGCTGACAGCTGTTAGGTACTGCAGTATAAATTCACTGACTGCACAGGTTTGCTCACTGTAGATCTGTACACAGTTTATTTGTAGCAGGCTTATGACAGCAGCATGTCACATCATCATCTCATGACCAGGTGTCAGGGATATGGCAGAGAATTTTCCATCAAGTGTCCTTTCAGCATCCTTATTGCAAAAAACAGCTAATGAAGGCAAAATACCAGTTTCATTGGAGATTCAGAACATGCAAATTCTTAGAAGTTATGGTTTAAGATCATGACATGACTGCAGGGGAAAAGTTACCTCCCCAAACATATGTTTTAAGCTTATTCCTGCTCTGCTTGGAAGCACTTTGTTTTGGTTTTTTTTGTATGACTAAGCAGCAGATGAGTTATAAAGTGACAGATGATCCTTGTGCTTAAGAGCATATGCTGCTCCTTAATCCTTAAAAGTGATACTTGTAATCAAGTGACAAATCACTGCCAAAAAAACCTCCCCAACTGTTAGACAATATTAGTATAATTACCATGAAAATGCTGACTTTCTAAATCTCTATTCTGTAGGAATTTGACAAGAAATACAATCCCACGTGGCACTGCATCGTGGGAAGGAATTTTGGCAGCTACGTGACTCACGAGACCAAGCACTTCATCTACTTCTACCTCGGCCAAGTCGCTATTCTTCTTTTCAAGTCTGGCTAGAACCATGGACTGTTACTGAAACTTGCACCTGGGTACAGGACTGCACACTGATTCCCACCTTCAGCCTTCCTGGGGAAACACATCTTGATCTTCAGGTCTTTTGTTGTATTGTTAATGGTCAGGGATTTTGCTGTAGCGGCTGGTATTTTCATTGTGGCTATATAGAAAAGCAAAAATGTCTTCCTTGTATTTATTTTCTTTCAAAAGATGGCTTCTTTGCTAATAAAACCGTTGGAACAAGTTTATCCCTTTGCCCTCTTGAATGACCCTTTTTTTTGCCATGTGAATGAAGGATGAACATCCCCACCTCTATTCCCACACCCCAAATCCATCCTTTCTTAAGAAACCTTCTTACAAGACTGATTTAGGTAGAAAAAAGTTGATGCAGAGCCCTTTTATTTCATAAGCCTTCCATTTGCCTTTGAAAGGAGTAATGGGAAAAAATCCTTAAACTCCATATGACAAAGATAATAACAGCTTCATAAAAGTCCATAGTTACTTCATAAATCCAAGTTACTTCTCACAAGTATAATATCCTCCTTTAAAACTTAGTAAAAAAAAAAAAGGCATCTTATTTGGAGACTAATCAGTCTCTTTCTTTATCCATACCCACTGCCAATGTGCTTCGCTTGTCAGCATGGCTCAGTTTTGGCCACATCCTTCACATTGCACTTGAAGGGAAATGGAAGTGTAAGAAACACCACTGGAGTCACTGCACAGGTTTCTTGGTGGGGAGAGGTAACTTGTGTTCAGAGTCCAGCTGCTGAGCAAGTATCTGCTGCACAACTCCTTTTGATACCGTTAAAATTCCACAGCTTTTATATCCCTCATGAAAATGATAGTTTTGGTGTTTTGCTACCCAGACTCACAGTTTGAAACCTGAGTGAATGGCAACAATGCCAAAGTTCAAATTCTCATAATCCACTTTGAAAAAGCCTGCATCTTCTATCATTGCCTTCAGCTCCTCCTGAAAAATAAGTGCCATAAGTATTAACAACCTGAAGGTCCATAAGCCAGCTGCTCACAGGATTATGCTGGAATTGTGTTTTGTGTGTTAGTGAATTTGGGGAAATCCTGCCTTACCTGAGGGGGGAACTGTCGGATGCTCTCCACAAGATACTGGTAAGATTTCCAGTCACCAGCAATAACCTCACCCAGAACAGGGATAACCTGGAAACTGTAGAGATCATAGAGCCTGCACAGAGAGATGGTAAATACAGATTAATAGAAACAAATTTAATCCCTCTCCAACACGAGCTGGTCTCTGTGCCACTAGGATATGCAGAGTGTAGCTGAGTTTAAAGGTGCACCAAGATGTGGTCTCAAAGTGTCTCCACCTTTTATTCTGAGTACAAACAAGAGAGCCCTGTGACCTGGCATAAAGCATCACCACGCTCCTACCTGGAAAGAAGAGGGTTGCTGACATGACTAAATTCAAGGCAGAGAAATCTTCCTCCTGGTTTCAGCACTCGATAGGCCTCTTCAAGTGCCTGAGACAAAGCAGATGTAATAAGTTTGCTTCTGTAGAACAGCACCTGCCTATTATCATGTCATGTGCTATTATCATGCAACTCTGATGAACTGAGGAAAATTAAGAGTATCCTGACTGGCAATCTGCAATATTTACTGTAGAGAAGCATCCCAAGACAAGTATAAAAAAAGCCCCAAATGTGCCACAAACCCAAAGCACAAATACTCTTGCTGTTACATAAATAGGTTTTTACAAGGCTTTGTGTCAAAACTGTGATGTCAGGTTTGCAATTTTCTTTCCCTACTCACAGTTGATGAAAGTTTGTTGGCAGAGCTCTTATAATTACAGACCAAACACAAAAGGGAGAAGGTGACTCAGCTACAAGAAACTGAAAATCAAAAACAGGCACGATCTCTTTTTTTCATTCAAAAGATTTTACTGTGAGGCACACCCAAAGGTTCAAAGAAGGAATGATACCGGGCTTCAGATGAGCAATGTGTAAGAACAGGAAGGAAAGAAAGAGAAGAAAAATCTTTGGCTACTTTGAAAATTCCATCCTGCATCAAAATAGAATACCTAATAAGAATCTAGACAAAATCCTGTTTAAAACTGTTCTTTCATACAAGAGCAGAGTTGTATTCCAGAACCTCTGAAGGTTGTACATCTGCTTGACTTCAACCGTCCTGTTCCTATGGGATAAAATATCAACACTACGGAGGAGCTCTGCAAAAGAGTTGGCAGCTTGGGTGTGTTTTGTATCAGGTCTCCAGGGAGCTCTGCTACCAGACTGCTGTATGCATGAAGGCAGAGAGCCTGTGCTTTGGAAGGGTGCACACAAAGCACCAGGAAAAGCCACATGCACATTTTGTTCAAAGGCATATGGTTCAAGGTGGTTTGGATGCAAATGCTTCACCTTCCACAGGAGCTCTGCCAAGGTTGTAACATACTCCTCCAAAACAGACAATTAGTGCATCCAGACAGGTGTCACCCCCACAACAGCCAGTCCTTCTCAAAGGACAGAGATAGTTCAGAACAAAGAGTACTACTTATCCTCATTAAAATCGTACTTGTTCTCTACAGGGAGCTCTGCCAGCAGCCAGTGTAAAGACACTGAGCAGAAGTGGGCTGAACAGGCTGGTTCAACAGCAGTGGGGGCAGCAGCCTCCTTCCCACTCTGCTCTGGCAGCTCTGTTGGCTCAGGCAGGGAAACAGAAGGGGACAGGAAGCATTGGCCCCACTGTTGGTGGGCTACAGATCAGGTGCTGCAGGAAGATTTGAGACATGCAGACTGACTGCCATGTGCACGTGTAGGTCCATCCATTCCATAGGTCAGGAGAAGGTGGGGAATGACTGTAGCATGCAGCACTTTGCCTTAAGAAGACACTGTGTGGCTTGCAAAGCTGGAAGGATTGGGTGCAACTGGTATAAATCTATCTTTTTATGACAAAGGTGGGGCACTTAATTGCATTTTCTACTCACACAAGTTGCATACTACATGCCACTTATTTTAAATGTTTCAGGAGTAGACTAAGATCTTCCTTTATCCAAAGGAGTTCCTACTTTGCTTCCTTTGTAGAACAAAAGATCATAAGGACACCACATCAGGATATACTATAGAAACTTACCAAATCAATACGAGTTACATTTCGGATTCCAAAGGCAATTGTGTAAACATCAAATTTATCATCATCAAAGGGCAACTCTTCAGCATTCCCAAGTACCCAGGACAAGCCTGTAGTGAAAGACAAGTAATTGAACTGAGCTCAGACTGCTCCAGAAAGGCTAGAACTTACCCATTCTAGAAGGAATTGATTATTTTTAAAGTCATATTGAAAACAAATATTTCGATTTTGCAGTTTTGTTAGAGGAAAGACACCTTGGCCTCTACTCATGAATCTTTCAAGACAGAGTAGTTCATTTTGCAGATCAGCCAAAACAATGTTCTGCACATACACGCAGTGTGTATACGCCACAAAGATTTTACCCAAAACTTGCATCATAGTGGAAAGCACTGTTGGCTGCCATTTGTTTGTGGCAAAGTTGTAAAAAGAGAATCTCTGCTTAAAGTGTAGCTATAGACAATTACTAACATCTTGCCATGCAAAATGGCCAAAACACTTAACACATTTTGCTAGAAAGCTCCCACAGGTTGAGGAACATGAAAAGCCACACTCCCTCCATCAGGACTATCAGTATGTGATGCAGTTGCAGCTGTGTTGCTTCCTAGTCCCCAAAGGATCAAGACCATGTCTATCTGTGGAGCATGCATGTCCACATTATTGGCAAGCAGACAAAATGCACAATCAGTCACTGTGCAACTCATGTTCCTTTTCCCCATGCACAGCTCCCACTCTTCTTGAATGCACACAGGGAAACAGCAAAAGAATCTCTGCCCCTTACAATTTCTTGCTATCAGGAATGTTACTGCCACAGTACAATGCATTTATTTACCTTCAGAGTAGCCAAGGTGCTGTGCTTTCTGCTTCCCAACTTTTAACATTTCTCTGTTGATGTCACAGACCACCACTTGGGAATCCCCTAGTGAGTTAAATTTGTCTTTCTGGTAACTCTCAAAAATTTCCTGCCATGACAAATTCTGATGGTGCTTGAGCTTCCTCTGGAGCTGGCGTTGTCGTGCAGAGCGAACATAATTAATGAATCGAAAGGCAATGTCACCTGCAGTTGTTTCAAAGGAAAGATACACATTTTGGAATGTTTTCTGACTCCAGGAAGTTGAAACATAAGGCCTTGAACATCCAACTGACTTACTATTTCTTTTTAGTCATATATATTTATAAAAACATTCCCTCAAACATATTGTAATACACACATAAAGAGAGTGTGTGTACATGTATATAGACAAAAAGAGAACTTATTAAAATCAAAGAGTCCATGACATTCTACAAATTAACAGTTTCCCATAACATATCGTGGCAGGACTACAACACTTTCAGACCCTTAAAGCAAGATAGTACAAAACACAAAGATATCAGTTTTCAACCCTTCTCTGGGAAAGTCAAGTAGATGCTTCACTAGTTTTAAAGACAGGGAGCTAAGGGCAAGAAAAAAAATCTCAGCAGGAAATGTAATTCTGAACAGACTCCAACAGCTGAAAAACAGTGTGGCATTGTCACATGTAACTCAACAAAATTATTTACCTGTTCCCCCCGCAACATCAAGGAGGAGTGTTCCTGGGCAAGGGTTCATTTTATGCAGGAGGATATCCTTCCACACCCGATGAATTCCCAGAGTCATTGAATCATTCATTACATCGTATTTTGTGGCCACATTTTCAAAGACCTGATAAACTGCAAAGAAAGGACAATGGGCATGAAATGCAATTTACATAAAAATGCTTATGTCTAAGTGAAACGTGTCCTTTATTGCCCTGTGGAGATCTGTGCACTATGTGGAGCTGAAAAATACCACAAGAAAACTCTTTACAAAACAAAACAAAATTGAATGTACTGAAGCCTCTTGCCTGACAAAGGTCTCTGGAGAAACGCAGCCTTCCCGAGATGAGGGAAGTAGCAGCGATATTATTCACCGGGACTCCCGGTAACGCCTCAGACAAGGGCCCAAACACGTCCCCGGCACTCTGGAGAACGATCCCGGCTGCCCGGGAGCGCAGCTCGGCTCCGGGCCCGGCCCGCCCTCTCCCGCCGCCGCCGCCGCCCTCACTTTTCTCCCTCCTCTCCTCCTCCGTGACGGTCTGGAAGCCGAAGTGCATCTCCGGCCCCGCGGCCAGGCCGCGGCGCGCCCGCAGAGCGCCGGCGGCCCGGGAGAGCAGCGCCCGGCAGCGGCGGCGGCACCGCCACAGCGCCGCCGCCATCTTCGGGCTGCGCCGGGCGGGCGCTCCGCCGGCGCGGGGCGGCGCTGCGCGGAGCCTGCCGCCGCCGGACAGGACCGCGCTCACCGGGGCGGGACCGCGCTCACCGGGGCTGCTGCCACCGGGGCGGGACCGCGCTCACCGGGGCGGGACCGCGCTCACCGGGGCTGCTGCCACCGGGACGGGACCGCGCTCACCGGGGCGGGACCGCGCTCACCGGGGCTGCCGCCACCGGGGCGGGACCGCGCTCACCGGGGCTGCTGCCACCGGGGCGGGACCGTGCTCACCGGGGCGGGACCGCGCTCACCGGGGCGGGACCGCGCTCACCGGGGCGGGAACCGCGCTCACCGGGGCGGGACCGCGCTCACCGGGGCGGGAACCGCGCTCACCGGGGCGGGATCGCGCTCACCGGGGCGGGATCGCGCTCACCGGGGCGGGAACCGCCGGGACGGGACTGCGCTCACCGGGGCGGGACCGCGCTCCGCCGGGACGGGACCGCGCTCACCGGGGCGGGACCGCGCTCACCGGGGCTGCTGTCACCGGGGCGGGAACCGCGCTCACCGGAGCGGGACCGCGCTCACCGGGGCTGCCGCCGCCGGACGGGACCGCGCTCACCGGGGCGGAACCGCGCTCACCGGGGCGGGAACCGCGCTCACCGGAGCGGGAACCGCGCTCACCGGGACGGGACCGCGCTCACCGGGGCGGGACCGCGCTCACCGGGGCTGCCGCTACCGGGGCGGACCGGGAGCAGCGCGTTCTCCGCAGCCCAAGGGGCCGCCGCCTCTGCCGGACACGGTCACCGAACCCCCTGGCCCCCGGTGCCACCGCCGCTCCGCGGTGCGACGAAACCTGTGCTGCGAGGGCAAACGTGACGGGGCAAAAACACCCCCAAAACTCCAAACCCAACACAGCCCTCACGGGGTACTTGAGTAATTTTGCAAATGGTTTTCTTCAACTTTATTTTATTTAGTTTTCTCTAGATTTCTAATTCTGTAGTTTCCTTCACTTAAGCCTCGTGGGGAACAGGAGGGAGGGTTTGTGGGTTCTGATGAATTGCAAGAGGAGTGAAAGATGCCTTGATTCCAGTCAGGAGCATTAGGACACAAAACCTTTTTTTTTTTTTTTTTTTTTTTTTTTTTTTTTTTTTTTTTTTTTTTTTTTTTTTTTTTTTTTTTTTTTTTTTTTTTTCATCCAGGAGTTCTGCCAGCTTTGTAGATACAAAGAAGTTACTTAACCCATTCTCAGGAGAGATGACATCATGCTATTAAAATCAGCCCAGGGACTGCATTCCCAGGGCATGAGCTGGGCTCCCTCACCCAGGACCTTCCTGCTATATTGGGACTTTTAGCACCATCATCAGACCACACCTCGATTTTCTCCAATTTTCCTCATATAATATTTTTTAAACTCTATGTTCCTTGCAGTAGGATGCCTTCCAAAGCATCATATTTGGTTTTGTTGGGTATTTTTCTCAGCCTGGGCTGTAGTGACGGATGATCTTTCTGTACCAGAGCAGTGACTGGGAGAGTCCCTCTCATGCTGTAGGCACGGACACTGCACGGACACCAGTGACCAGCTGCATTCAAAGTCACAGAATGGGTCAAGCTGGAAGGGACCACTGTGGGTCATATGGTCCAACCTTCTTGCTTCAGCAGGGTCATCCCAGAGCACATGGCACAGGATTGTGTCCAAATGGTTCTGGAATAACTTCACTGAGGGAGATTACAATCTCTCTGGGCAACCTGCTCCAGTGCACAGTCACCTGCACAGTGAAGAAATTCTTCTTCTTGCTCAGGTGGAACTTCCTGTGCATCAGTTTCTGCCTGTTGTCTGCCTCTTGTCCTATTTATCAGCTGAGAAGACCCTGGTCCATTCTCTGACACCTACCCTTCAGATATTTATACACATTAATGAGGTCCCCTGCCAGCCGTCTTTTCTTGAGGCTGAACAGGCCCAGCTTCCTCAGCCTTCCCTCATAGGAGAGATACTCTGGTCCCTTATTCATCCGTGCTGCCTTCCACTGGACCCGCTCCAGGAGCTCCATGTCTCTCTTGTCCCAGGAGCACAAAACTGGGCAAAGCACTGCAGATGTGCCTCACCAGGGCTGAGCAGAGGGGCAGGATCACCTCCCTGACCTGCTGGCAGTGCTCTCCCTAATGCTGCCCAGGATCCCACTGGCTTTCTTGGCCCGCAAGGCACACCGCTGGCTCAGGGACAGTCTGTTGCCCACGAGGACCCCACGCTCCATGTCCGCAGAGCCGCTTTCCAGCCGGTCAGACCCCAACCTGTACCGGTGCTCGGGGTTATTCCCTCCCCGTCTTCCTTCCTGCGTTCAAGCAGCTCAGCCGTGAGGCAAAGCACAAAGCGATGGGGAAGGGCTGCGCACGGCCGGAGCGGCAGCAGCCGCGGCCCGGCCCGCGCTGCTCGGCGGGGCCCCGGGGCCGCCCCAAGGCCGAGCCCGCCGCGCGTCCCCGCGGCCGCCGGTCGCCATGGGAACGGCCGCAAGGCATGCCGGGCTGAAAGAAATTGCTGCGGCAAAACCCTGCAAGAGCGCCGGACCGGGGCCAATAAGATCTCGGGGTGATGGTAGCGGTGACCAATGGCTGGCGGCCGGCGCTGAGGGGGCGGGGCTGGGGGCGCTCGGAGGCGCCGGCGGCGCGCGCGGGTCGGTTAAACAGCCGCGGCGGCGGAGCTGAGTGCGTGCACGGACCGGAGCGCCGAACCGCACCGCCACCGGCTCTGCATCCGCACCGCCCGCTCGACGGTGAGGGCGAGGAGCTGCCGGCCTCGAGCATTGAGCAGGAGAAGCTCCCGAGAGGGGCCGGGTCCGGCTCGGGAAGTCTGGGGGTGGGCAGCCCCCGTGCCTGGGCTCTTCCCCGGCCGCCGCCTCCGGTTTTCCCGCATCCCCGGCGGCTGCCGGCGGCACGCTGGAGCCACGCGGGCTCCGAGCCCTTGCCGCGCGTGCCGGGCTTTCTTCGCCTCCCGCGGGGGCCGCCGGGCCGGGCGGTGCAGCGGCCGCGCTCTCGCGGGGCTCCCGGGCCGGAGCGGGGCCGGGGCGGGCCGGGAGGGCGGCGGTGCGAGCGCGGCTCCCGGCCGGAGCGGGGCCGGGGCGGGCCGGGAGGGCGGCGGTGCGAGCGCGGCTCCCGGCCGGAGCGCGGCTGCCCGACGGGAGCGGCGTTTGGCACGCCCAGCCAGGGCGGGGGCACCGCGGCGATACCGGTGGGGCAGCTTGGCAGCAGGTGGTTCTGGCAGGTGCTTCTGCAACTTTGAATTTCCTTCTTTTTTTCTCCTCCAAGCAGGCAATCATGAGTGATCGAAAGGCAGTGATCAAAAATGCGGACATGTCAGAAGAGATGCAGCAAGATGCTGTGGAATGTGCAACTCAAGCCTTGGAGAAATACAACATTGAGAAGGACATCGCTGCTCACATAAAGAAGGTAGATGTTGGCTTGTTATGTGCTCATGATATCTCTATGCACATGAAAAATCAAATGGGCAGAATGCTGCTAGGCAAGTCGTGCTAGTAAAACAAGTTCTAGAGACGCTAGATAATCAAGTTGGACTTTCTCTTTAGGCTGATGTCCATGTGTTCCTTTACCCACCCTTTACCCCTTTACATGTCCCTTTCTAGGTGCTGCTTTTTTCTTGCAGTACTTTCTGCTTATGGCCTTTTTTGCTACTGTCTGTTGTCCACGTGAGGATAGAGTGGCACCTGACTGTCCCTGTGACTGATGAGCTGGTACAAAACACAGGGACTCTATTGAGCTCTTCTTTGGTTTTCCTCTGAGAGATAGCTTGTTATTCTTGGTTTTATTTGTATTTAATCTTAAGGATCTCTTTACAGTTCTTGCCAGCTGGATCAAAAATAGCAGGGGAAAAGTAGTTTTCTGCAATTCTCTGTAATTACACCTCTCCTTACATAGTGATATAAACCAAAAAGAAATATATCCTGGTAGCACTGGTTATCTGTTGTTTGCAATATCTGTGTCATCCTTTATGTAGAATTAACAATACATGAGAAAGATCTAGTTCAGATTTTATTTCCTGCTTCGTCAGCTCAGGAGAACAGAGAAATCAAAGTGCGTCAGTAGGAGTTAGTGATCTGAGTGGAAGAGCTGTTGAAATGTTAAGGCTGATTGGACTGAAACTGTCTGGAGTTAACTGCTTGGCATTAGGAGCTGAGTTTGATAAAGGTTCAGGCTACAAGATGTGAATTTTCACATAGATATGTTAACTTTTACCTAACACTGTGAAAGAGGGCCTCAAGAGCTGGTTCAAGCTGGAAAATAGGAAGTTTTAACTGTCAGCAGAAATCACAACATGGGAGATAAAATGACTGTCCTGAGACATTGAAAAAACCCAATAAAGAACAAGAAGTCCCCTAGCTTCTAGTGCTGTTATTAGTCAGAACTGTAAAAGGTGGGGAGCTGAGGCTGAGGAGGTGTGATTGCTTGGCAGTTTCTTGGTTCGGGGTCCTTCTGAAGGCACCCAGCAGGATCTGTTCTGCTGCTGTACCACTGAAAGCCTGGAGCTCTGCTCCAGGATACCTGGGGTGGGGGTAACTTTAAAATTTGGGATACTTGGGGTGGAGAAGCTTCTCTAATATGAGAAATAATTAATCCATGCAGAATGATTGCTTCTGCTAAAGAAATACTTGTTTGCTATCACCAGAGTACTGAAAGGCTTTTTTAGTCCTGACACAGAAAGTATCTATGAAAGTTGAAAAGAGAGTTTAGTATTTTTCAGATATTCTTTGTTGCAGCTACTGGGACTTGATAGAGGATTTATTTGAAAAATATGTAAAACACAACTGCTTAGATTTATCATACTTGTTACAGAGCACGTGGCAGAAGATATCAGCTGTGCTGCTGATAAACAGTGAAGTCTAAATTATGGCTTTGTCTCTGTGGGTACAAAAGTAATGGTAAATCTTTTACTTGGGAATTGTAGATTGAATCATGTTATGAATTATGGAGGAAGAGAAGACAAGTTTCCTTCAACAG